GTAACATACAATTATAATAATTCTAGAATAGTTCGACCATGGACATGAACTTGAACTTTGAAGCAACGTTAGACCTCACCATTAGAGGTACACCCAAAAATACACGAACAATCACAGGTGGGTCAAAGACGAATTATGCCGTCTCACCGCCCTTGTCTCCATCAACAAGTTCCAATATCGTCGATACTTAGGCCTGGTAGTCTCCTCGACCTCGAGATAGTCGTGTTCCTTGCATATAGACATGCTAAGAACAAAGATCACGTCCTTGAGTCCCTATCAACAACTAGAAGTCAGAAGTCAACGTCAGTAATCATTAATCAAAGTCGTCCGGCGGTCCCGGAGCTGAGGTCAGATTCTTATGACATTCGCGCCCGTCGTGCGATTCCCAGCGTCGAGAGATGCCCACATAAATATGGGCAGAAATAGACATGGCATATCAACGACTCCTACCAATACTCCATATTTGAACGCTCACTAAGGGACTCGGGAACCCAGTACATTCGGGCGGGAGTTCGTTATCCTGTGATCGTCATTGGGGTGGGTCATGATAGCATTAAATGGAATATGGAACATCGGTTCGGAAGATACAAGCAATGGTTGCAGAGATTGTGGGGGAAAGAGTTCGAAAATATTGGACAATTGGAGAGCAAGTTCTCCACCTATAATATACAGAAAAAAGAAAAAAAGGGGTAATTAGAGACCGTCCGTGCGTAGCAGCGTGAGCGCTGAATAGGAATAGAACCACAGAAGAGTAGGGGGTCAATGTAGAGATGAGATGAGGGGGAAGGAAGGGTAGACGTCGTGAATTGAGCATTCTGGAAACAGGACTGTGAGCAAGTGGAGAAGACTTACCTCGGTATCGGGTATGTACCATAAACCATACGACCAAAATACTCCGTCCAATCTCGCAATTCACTACATCCCACCCGTTACACTACTCCATCTATCGCTGACGCCGCAATGACCGGTTCACTTGGCTGTGCGAAAGCCACGACCGCAGGATTACCTCCTTCAGTGCCAGGATTCTGTGACGCCGTGGTTGTCGCCGAACTTGTCGGCGAAGTGGTCGTCGTCCCTGTGGTCGCTGCCGACGCCTGACCAGACTGAGGTCCACTCGCACCCGTATCAGCACCACTCTCTCCCGAACTTGTCGAGCCTCCATTCGGGTTGGATTGTGCGCTATTGTCTCCGTTGTTCTTGTGTTTGTTAGACAGTGTGCCACCGACAGCTCCTCCGATGACAGCTGCTACCACGACGATGGCAAGTAGCGTGAAAATGATGATCCATTTTCGTGTTTTGTACCATGGTCTTTGGGTATGTGAGGAATAGAGCACGGCCGAGGGGGATTCTTTGGGGTATTGGGCCTCTGCGTGGTCGATATTGGATGCGTGGGCGGGCGGTGTTGGTGATGAGCTACCTGATTTCGGTACTTCTCGCGAGTTATCTAGTAGATCGACATTGTAACCTTCCTATTGTGCAAAGAAAACGATTACGAGTGCAATGTCCCGATCAAGACCAGGTTAAAGTTGGGAACAAGTCAGAGACGCACCTGCTTCGCCGCACGAGTGGCGACCGGCGCACTCGCCAGAAGACGTTCGTCGTAGGCGGACATGGTGTTGGTGGTGGTGGACGAAGGAGGGAAGGGCGGGTGAGAAGACAAGGGGAAGCGGCGCTCTGGTGCAATATCGCTGTGCACTGCCTGTGCCAACAACGGCTTGAATTCGTCCTGGCAGATGGCGAACAAACATCGTCAAACACGCCCTTTTCAACTCCCAAGCACAACGTTTCCCGTCCCGTAATAACCACGAATGGTTTGTCAGATGTGCCACATTTGACGGTCTGACCTCGGCTAAGACCTCAAGGCACTGCAATAATGCCTTTTCGGGAGGAGGAAAACAAGAAATATCGGGTCTAATTTGGCTACTTACGAGCTGGTACGAGCTGTCACTCCGAAAGTGCCTGAGGTTATCGGATGAAGTTGAAGGTGAGGATGAATGACTGTGCAAGTGCGTGTTCAAATTGTAGGAACTGCTTGCGCCACCAAATTGAGTTGCCTTATATGGATTTGTCGGGACGCAAGGATCGTACGGGTCGTATGGATGCGAATACATAGGCAAGAAAGAAAAAGAAGAAAGGAAAGGTACTACTCGAGCTTTGCTGCACGATTTTGTTCTCAGGTTTGCAATGCGATGTCAGATGGTGGGGAGGCACTGTTGTTAGATGCCCGTACAAAGCCATGCATCGATCCGAAACGTCGTTACAACGGAGAATAAGCGTGGCGGGTTTCAGGGCAAGGTTTGTTCATATGTCATACATGCAAACTTTCGTACTCTTGATGGGCATATCACAGCCAGCGTGAACGAAAGATACGAATCTGAACTGTGTTCTAAGCTGACCACTACAATGTATGTAGCACTATTCAAATTCAGACCATGCTACGATAGGACTCTCGAAATATCTCGATGTTAAAACCGACGGGAAGCTTGAGCTTGGAGATCCTCAATTTCAAAACACGATCCTAGCTATCGAAGGACAGTCCCAAAGTCTAAGTTGATGACGTGCTTATGTCCGTGAGGTGGTTCCGACTCGGTTCGAGCGATAACATACCGCCTGTCGATCGGAGCGTCTATTCTTGAGCGCGAAATAGAGCAGTAAACCAAGAAGTCATGTATTGCAGAGAACCACATCAAGGGTCTTGCAAAAGTAGTATGATACAAAACACATTCCAAATCCAGAATACAAGTAGTAGAGGCTAAAGTACACAAATCCTTCAGTCCGTGACGGAGATGATCACGAAAAAAAACACAAAGCAAAGCAAGCGAAAGCACACCACCTTCCAGTTCCCGCAAAGAGATAGAACCATCTAACTCATCGCCTCAATCCATTCCCTCAACTCTGCCACCAGCATTCTTGCCGCCACCTCAAGCTTCTCATCTCTCGCCCTGTCTACTTCCACAATCGTCTTCTTCCGCTCTCGTGTCGTCAAAATCAACCCTACTTTCCTAGTTGAGAACGACGCCGAGAGGGATGAGAATGGGATCGATCGTGTCGGTCGGGTTTGTCTTCGTGAACTGGGTCCGGCAGATGAGGAGGCATAAGTGCTAGTCCCATTGACACGTCCAGGACCAAGTGCGCTCTTCCCACCCGAGCTGCCACTAGCACTCTTCCCTTTCGGATACATCACCTTCACCGCAGTTCCACCAGGATTAGGGACACTAATTACCCCCTCCTTCACTCCTATCACTCTAACCAGATCCTCTAGCCTACTTCGCGGCTGCATCAACTCGAACAAGTCTCTAAAGCTATCTTCACTTCCCAGATGGAGTTCACTATCATCTAGCCAGACGTCTTCACGCACTTTGAGGGCGATGAAGAGATCGAGGACTCGCGTTTCGCGTTGGAGAGAGAGGACGGGGGATGTGGAGTCCGATGTAGAGAGGGAGGATGTGAATGAGGGTGGTGGGAAGGATGGGGATGAGGAGGTTGGTGTGGGCGAGGTTGGTGTTGTTAGTGGGAAGGGGTCGGAGGAGTAGGGTGGTCGGATTTGGGCGGTGTAGGCAGGGATGTAGGTTGAGCGGAGGACGTGCATGCATGCTGCGAATGGGTATCATCAGTAAGGGTTATTCATGACAATTCAAATCAAATGGTGCAATGATAACAACTCGAGAAGAACAGATGCGCAGGGTATATGGGTAGGGAATAATCGAGATGTTAGGGATAGTACGTCTCTAGCATACCGATCATATCCTTGTAGTAGAATTGTTCTCGGTGACGAACTGTATGACATCATCGTTGATGTCTGATCGTATGAGTACGAATACTGGGTAAGTGCATTCAGACAAAAATAATTGTTTGTGGGATTATTGGAGACCTAGAGTGGACGAGCTGCAATCGAGGTAAGTCCGTGCGTAGTGCCAAGACTAATACAACTCCCAAAGCGCCTTGACTGTTGCAGCACACGGAAGAAGCTGCTCGAAGCAAACGCAGAGTTTGTGGGCTCTGTAGACGTCGCTTAGCAAGGTGAAATGAAGCACAACTTTACTGCTGGGAGCGTAATGATTTGGAATGACAGGATCAAAGTCGAGCGCAAGAATTGTCGCAGTACTCACCGACATAGATCGTTCTGCATACCGCTCGTAGACTCGTATTCAACCAATAAAGTATCTGTCTCTGCTTCTCGATCGTCCCCTTTCCGCCAAAGGTTGCATACACAATTTGCAACAAGATATTCGGTGGGAGTGTCGCTAGCGTAGGCACGATCCTCGATTGATAGGGAAATGGAGGAGGACTGACGGGTTCCGCAGGGGCATATGGAGGAGGGGGAGGTAAGGCCATCTTTTCGTCGAGGATGATCATGGTCGGAAGGACACCTGCGGAGACGGGGGAGGTAAATAAAGACTCGGGGAAGAGCGGTTAGAGATCGAGGAATTAGGAATGCAGGAATAGAGAATAGCAAATGTGTCAAGGGGGACGCAGTTGAGAGAGGAAAAGACAGTCTGATTGAGTGGTTCCGATGATTCCACTGAGACTCGTTAGGGCGACTGTGGGGCTGTTCGAGGGGCCGAGTGACCAAACGGAGGTCGATCGACCAATGAAGGCCTGGCAGAAGATGGACAGCTGCGTTATTCTCGGGGACGACGGGAGGATAGACTGCGGATTGTGCGTTTATAACACACTTCAACTATTGGATCGCAACGCTGCAGAGAAGAATGTAGACCGCAGTCGACATCGACAAAGGTAGGCAAGGGCCTGGGTGAGAACCTATAGGGTCACTGCCGGTGTTTTTACGGCAAATTCAATTGCGAACGTTTCCTATAACTTGACATGAACATTTGTGAGCTAGGTCAAGGATTTAGTATAAGTTACTTACAAAGTTGGTAGTGTCAAAAATGATGTGTATGTGTATGTGTATGTCGAAATGGTTCAGAGACAAAGTGAAATGACATGAAAAATGCAGAGTCCGACTCTCTGTCACGTAGATAGAGAGCAGACTCTACAAACTGCCCCAGTGAGGCTCGAACTCACGACCTTCCGATTGCGGATGATTACGTAATCAGTTAACAGTCGGACGCTGTAACCAACTCAGCCATGGGGCACATTGCTTCGATATCGCGTAAAGTCACTAGTATTTATTATATTGAATCCGAATAGGTGATAACACGTTAGTGGATATGTATACTAGCCGTTGACTTCTTCAGTGTAGTGCTGCACAAGTACGAGTAAGTATGACCGGGCACCCATATTTATCAATAAGTAGTATGCCGATGCTTTGATATACTAATATGCTTAATATTAAGCTATACTAAGTTATATTTTTAGTATAATTTAGTATAGTTGTCTTCATTGTTTTCTCTAGTTGTTATAACGTTGTGTGAGCATACATAGTTCATGTTCCCTTCGTTGTAATTATATCGTAATGGAACATCTCTAAGCTCTAGAAAGCATAGCTAATAACAAATATACATATTTCTAACACCGACATTAGGGTGTGCAATATAGGCGCTCCTAGTAATAGTACAACTTAGTATGGAGCCCCGTATTATATTAAGTTGTATTATACAGAGATCATAATATACTCGTTAATTTGTATTAATACGTACTTACTAAGTTGTACTCATATTCTTGCACAGCACTACTACTTCAGTGATGCTGGCTGAGTTCCAGTGATTCATATAAAGGTCAGGAAGCAACTGGCCATTGTGGAGTGCTGAATAACTCACTGGCAGAGCCTTGTCATGAATTGTCTTCGTAGAGTTAGCCTACATAGGCCTAGGACTTAGGCTCAGCTACAGCCTCAGCCCAGAATGAAGACAATCGTTCACCACCGCTTTCAGATACATGAGCCTGCTTGGCACTGATATCAGTGATATGCTGGTTTTCATCGACATATCTGTATGACCATCATGTTCGGTTTTTTTAATCCTAGGAATAGAGCCAGAGGCCGTTGTGGGTCTCCTAGAGTGTGGATATCAAGCACGAGATGCGGTTGAGCTCATTCTTCTGTATTACGCCAAATCCAAGCCCAAGTACGTATAGATTTAAATATAACCGATCTGACCCCCTCTCGGCATTACGGTCTTCAGTGCGCTGTTGCGCTCGTGTGTACATGGGTTCTACTTGATGTCAAACGCACCATATCAGATGTCGCATTACCAACTTGGACATCGAAGGCCACACTTGTAACGGTATAGTTCTGCTACCTACCATCACATCGATCCTCCTACGTCTCCACACTAATATGCTAGCATTCTTTCCTACCGTTAATATGGAAGGTCTTGTCCGTCGAGCGACTTTGTCAGCATCTGGCGAAGAGACCTTTTTGGCCGTACGGGACCAGTCAGCCGTCGATTGTATGGATGAAATCGTCAAGGTAAGTTTTGACTGTGATCAACTTACCTGTCGCTACTAAACTACATCCGCCGGGATTTAGAACCTGGATGCTCTTAAGTTACTGCCGTCCAGTGCCGTCTGTAACGATCGATTTATTCTTCGTCGCCTACTCCTTAAGCTCTCGAAAGCTTCGGAACGTTTCCCATCCTCTCTCTACTTCACCAATATCAGATATCCGGGTAGTTATCCCGTTTCCGGAGGCGCTTCCGCTGACATTTATCTGGCGACTACTGAATCTGGTGCTCGTGTTGCTTTGAAGAAGTTGCGAGCATTTCAGACGAGGTCTGATGAGTGGCGTAGCAACCAGCAGGTGCGCATGGCCAAAATATCATGTCTGCACCTCTCATGATCGTTTACGTTATTAGAGCCTTCGTCGAGAGGCCCTTGTATGGAAACAACTGGATCATTTCGCCATCCTTCCCTTTCTGGGCATTAACGACGATGTATTCTCTCCTCACACATGTATGGTGTCCCCATGGATGGATCGCGGGAACATAATTGCTCACATCTCTCACGAGAGATAGAAAGGTGTAACACGACTGCCTTTGGCCAAATGGGCACGTCTTATATAAATCTCTGAACTTGAAACTCAGGTCTGAATCATGCATCGTTACTAGATATATCAAATGGCAGAGGGCCTGCGATATTTACATAGAGAACAGTTGATTCATGGTGATTTCCGAGCTGTGAGTACATTCCCTATCATTGCAATTTTTTCAGAGCACAAATGATCTGTCCTCACCTAGGCCAACATCCTGATTGACGATGCCAATAACGTGAGGGTTGGAGACTTCGGGGTAGCTAAACTTGCGGATATCACAACCGCTAGTTTTGGTTCCTGTCATGCGGGAAACTCTCGCTGGCTTGCTCCTGAACTTCTACATGAAAGCAATAATAAGGCCACGTTTTCAGGCGACATATATGCGTTCGGGTGTGTCTGGCTGGAGGTACATCACCTTATTTCTCCAACCTCGCCTTCATTATTCACTTGGTCATTCAGGTCTATACGTTGAGAGTTCCTATGGCGGAGTTAACAGAAATACAAGTAACCGCAAAGAAACTACAAGGGTTCCGACCGGTGTGGCCAACAATGGTTCCTGCCAATCCCAATTTACCCCTGGAAGAATGGGAATTCATTCAAGATTGCTGGCTAGCTGAGCCATCCTCTAGAATAACGATTGGAAAATTGGTGGCCCGCGCACGTATCAATACTCTTGCCTCGACCAGCACCGCCGGTATTCCAATTGAATCGATAGTCAATATGCAATCTCTATTCGATGATCTTATGCAACCTATACTCGACTCCGCCCTGGTAGTGGAAACGGTATACATGTGCTGGAAGCGAAACCCTATAGTCATTGCGCGAGCACTCGCAGAATATAGCATATCAAGAGAGCATATAGATCCGTCTGAAACATGGCTCAACTTTACGTATCTCTTCTACAGCAAACACAAACATTCGCGACAGTCAATTTTCTCTCCAATTACCCTCAGCCGCTTAGTCCCTGACATCCAAGCCGGTCTACCTCTGTTCCCTCCGGTAGCTGACATCCAATTCATAACAATGCTGGAGGAGATATTTTCCTCGGCACATCATGACATGTCACTTCTAGGCGCATTGTGGGACACTTTAAGCTTGATCAGAGGTATATCCACAAACGATATACTCATACTCACACTCCGACTTCTCAGGGCGCAGTCATGTTCACTACCAATAAATCCTAGTGGATGTCTAGGGAACCTCCAAAGACTACTCGACCTTTCCAATGTGAAGCACAAACTGTGCAATGACATTGTGTGCTGCACGTACAGAATTCTATACCAATGGATCTACACTGTGACAACCCATTCCCTCATGAACTCACGTTCAGCTGAGATAAAGGATCTTTTCCTTCTCTTTCTCTCAGCTTTATTGCACTTCACGGGACCCGACATAGGACCGTATAGAATCCTTGTATCTGACCGTCTCATCGCGCTATTGGGCCGCCTCGAGGTGACCGAAGATGCACGGAGTTCGAAGGAGCTGGAAAAGAGACACAGTGCTATGGTGAAGAAAGGGATTTTGCTGCAAATGCTGACCGAGTGTCGGAAGTGCGGTACAGTGTTTGGAAAAAATGATGGGAATAGAGAAATAGTGGATATATGTGTTGTTTGTGCAACCCTCGAGCGAGTATGATATTGATAGTGTAACGCGACCTTGGTACCATTCGAAGTAACCGCTAGTACTGAATATCTCGAGGAGAAGGAGCGTGACCCTGGATTGTTGAGATGTTCGTGGGCAACAAAAACGTACAATATCTTTGAAGTAGTCCGGACATAACAGTTATCAGTAATAGGAAGGGATACCATAGAAGGATACCGGTAGTACATTGAAACGTTCCTACACCGTAACAAACATTGATCTACCTGTTCGCTATGCTCGCCTGCCGGGGTGCGGCTCTCGGATTGCAAACGACTGTCATGATGCCTGTCCATCCCATTCATAATCCATGAATATATTATTCCACCATCTTACTTCACCGCTCTCGGTCCTTCCACCAAAAATGTTAATCCCACTTCCACCCTCATCCCTACAAATATCCCCAAATCGCTCCGCCTCGGCTATCATGTCCTGGACCAAACCAACGGGAAGCTGTTCCTCATGTGCCACTTCTACTGTGGTCTTGGGCCCTATACCAGTTCGAATAAAAAACCGGCATGCATATGTGCATCTAACGTAAAGAGAACTTACCGAGTGTGAGAAGGGTGACCATACGATCGGCAAATACATCCCTTGCGTATGGAGGCGTGTGCAAGACGGATAGTCCAGAGGTTGAAAACTTACGCATGTGAATCGGCGGAGACGTATAACTTGGCAGATGTGGGAGTACGGACAGGAAAGTTGAAGGAGGGATCAACGCTGCGGAGACGAAAATGGAAATGAGTAATGTAACAGAATATAGAATAAGGCACGAAAAGAAAAATAGAAACATGGAAGGCGTTCCATCAGCGTTCAGTAAGACGGATCAGGAGTCCACTGTTGGCACAACAGGTCGTGAAAAGGACTATAGCTCACCAACTCCTCGGGCACGGTTCCATCCACCCCATACTTCGTCGAGGGCAATGATTCCACGTTTGCGCATCATCCCACCTCCTTGTTCGTCGTTTGTCCCCGGTTGCTTCCAGGACGATCCATTGCCTTGGAGCACACTGGCGAGTTCCCTGGCGAGTTCCTCATGCCATCGTCGCTCGTCACGCATCATGTCAAGTGTGACAGGTGCGTTTGGCATTTGAAGGCCTAGTTGAGACAAGGACGATCGGATGAAAGTAGCCTCTTCTGGCTCAATAATATTCGAAGCTGTATGTGTGGCCGTTGCGACGGTTAGCTTTTCGTTCAAATCTTCAGCCATTCGAACCATATCCCTGGCTTTAACTGCCAGAGACTCGATATCTTGCAGTGCATCCTCCATGTTACTCTGGGTATTTGCTGCAGTATTCTCGACGGTACGAAGAATGCTATCTACGCTCAGGTTTATGAGTCATAATTCAGGTAAGACTCTAATAAGACAACTTACTGAGCCCTCCTTGACCTGTTCCGGAGGCCTGACTCGCAGGGGTTGATGAACTACGGACTTTGGACTATGGATGATATTGCTAGTTAGAATAGACCAAAATGTTCGCCGATACGAACTAACCTCCCAACCTTTGCCTAAAAGACTCCGTCGAA